CCAGTGGCTGGCTGGGGAATTCTGGGAGTTGAAGTCCACACATCTTCAAGTGGCCCAGGTTGAGAAACACTGGTCTACAGAATATGGTTGACCCTTGAATTTTAGTACCTACTCCTGACAAAAAGAGATGGGTGAGGTATGGTCCTAAGCACTGCAACTGCAGGCAGAACAAAGCCCGAAAACTAATTTGAACACTAACTCTTAACTCAGCAAGATCAAAAAGCTCCTGTCCTTGGCAAAGCAGTCTGCATTTATTCCTTAGGAAAAAAAACGGAATTACAATTTCTGCAGAAGTAGCTCACCTCCCTAATTAAAACAGGAGAATAGGACACAGGCTTCAGAAGAAGGCACTTAATGAAATAGCAGATGAGGAGAGGGAGAAAAAACAATACAGGCAATTCTAGTTCTACAGAGGGGTAAATTCCACTGACTTCCACAATCCTTACTCCTCGATAATAGCAATCTTAAACATCTAAAAGCCGGCATTGCCTTCAAGGATGGAATTAAATGAACCATGGCAAACAGCCCAAGATGCTAAGCCTGGAGTACCCTTTAATTCAAATCTAAAATTCTGATGCAGTAACATTTAGTTTTGCTGTTAGGACAATCCAATTAAGATACATGTTGTTGATAATTAATTCTTGAATCCACTACTGGGCATCCCCAGAGCCATTTTCAAAGTTTCCAAGCTTTCTATACACAGAGAGAGAAAATAAGTGCCACTGGCATGTAATCTTGCTTAACAACTGCTCATGAGCCAATAATAATGCTCTATTCAATGTTAGGAAGATCATTAAAACATTATCAATATCGAGTGTATCTTCTGCTTTCCTTGGTGAAGTATACTGATTAATTTATTGCCAAATCTTAAATATTCTGAGTTCAATGAAGCTTATCCCTAAGCCAACACAGAACTGGAGCCTTAGATAGCATTTGCTTCTTAGCAGCAGGTATTTTGTTACAAATGTATTAGCATTAAGCTCTAAAACCTGTGTTTCTTTTGATTAAGGTTCTAGAACAGTGTTTTTCAAACTCGGCAACTTGAAGATGTGTGGACTTCAATTGTTAGAATTCTGGGAGTTGAAGTCCACACATCTTCAAGTTGCCAAGTTGAAAAATACTGTCCTAGAATAATAAGCATCACAGCATTCATATACATTGTTCATCATTACGATACTGCCCATACAAATAGCCTTGTATTTTTCTTTATCTTTTCTTGCAAAATCTGCTCTGTGGTTCTAAAGCACAGTTCCTACAGGCCACACTGAGGCGTTAAAAAAAAAAGTTATTTCATTCTCTCAGTGATTTAGAAAGAAAACCAGTAAGATCCATTCAAACCCCAGAACTGCAACCAGAACTTGTTATCAATTATTTTGTTTAAAAAGAAAAAAACAACTTGGGAGAATAGTGACATAGCACCATAATCTTGCCTTAAAAACACATAATTTTAGATTTTCTGAGCCTAGGCTTCTACAGCAAATAATAAAGCACTGAACATATCATAGTTTATCAAATACCACGAGATTGTCTATGTGTTAAGAGCCCAGAGGCATCACCATAAACTCTTTCTGAAAACTAAGGTTTTTGATCACAAGGAAGAAAAAATTGTTTCACCGCACTGTGTTAATGTTATCATTCTGGCATACTGCATGATGCTCTGCTTCCTTTTTATACTTCTCTAACAATGCTTTACCAGAAATAAATGTATGGCTATTTCCATTTATATTCATAACATATTTAAAATATGTGTACTTGCATACTTTGTATGTACGGTAGCTCCCAAACTTAAAAACAAAGCTGATTAAAACAAGACTGCCTTGTGTTATCCTTAACAATTCTTTTGAGAATGGCCACTATTACTTAGGTAAGTAGCACAATAAGTAAGACAGACACACTCCACACCATCTCCCTCTTGACCTCCCTGTTTACAGTTGTAAAGTTTTAACAGGAAAACAATTCAGGAATCTGATGAAAAGTTTATGCCATAATAAATTGGTTGTCCTTTAAGGTGCAACAAAACTCTGTGATTTTTGCTACAATGTGACAGAAGGACGTAAAATTGCTGTTTTAAGTAATGTTTTTCAACCCAGGTCTTTCTGAATGGGAAACGATTTCTTTCCATCCACAGATATTTGTAATGCTGCTTATCAATTTTTTATCTTTCATATGGAGGGTAAAAACAAGAAGCCATTCAGCTTTTTTCAAGAAAGTAAAAGCAGCATTCTTGCTGACAATCAGCTGTACAGCTAAAGGACTTTCATTATAAGCATCATCAGTCTATGCATATATATATATATGTATGTACAATCAAGTCACTGTAAAATGAGCATCTTTTATTAATTTCTTCATTACATTTAAACATTTATACAAAAGTTCAGTGCTCTGAATCTTGTTTTACTGATTAGTCCCTTACCTCAGATGCCACCCAACCCTCACCACAAATGCACAAATCCCTCATGATTACTATCACAACAAGTATGTTAAGATTCTGGTATGTGCTGAATCATGTGCCTTGAACTTCCGGAGGGAAAAAGGAGTCTTACAAATACTTACTAAAGTCACTGTGTGTGTTTAAATTATATAGCTGAGCAATGCAAAAAATGTGAATGTGTATAATTCTTAGTAGTCTCTGAAGAAGCGAAATGAACAATATGTCTTTAAGAAAAAGCTGTATTTTGTATTCTCCCTCTCTTATGCCAATATAACTGGAAGGTTGCAGATGGCTCTCTCTGTAGGTTCCTATCTGTCGAAAGGCACACATCCTTTTCACAGTCTTGGCTTCCTGAGCAAGGTTTTGCTAAGGTCCTTTACTTCTTCTGGGCTACTGGCTTTCTCATAGCCTAGGATTGCCATGGGCTGATGGCAAAACTCTTCCACTTGCTTAATCTGATGAAAGCTTAATGCGGTCCTCCAGGCATTAACTGCCTGGCTAGCATTCCTGGCAGAGACCACAAAAGGTTTGAAAGAGTACCCGGGTCCACTCGTCATATTGAGGGCAAACTTTTCCATCTCTGGGCTCACCACTAAGTTGACAAATCCATAGACCTGCCGCAAAGTCTTGATGGGGTCCACAACCAGGTCCTCGTACCGGACAGCCATATAATTCCCCTTCAGCCAGTCGGGTGGGTGCAAAGCCGTTTGCAAGGTCTTTGCCATGCTGCCACAGATCACTTCCATAGCACCTAAGGCATGGTAATCTGAGCCACCTCCCCCCTCCTTCTTGCTGTTCAGCTTGTGGCCTGCATCCAGGAATGGCATTCGATGGATGCGGGGATCCCTGCTCCTCACCACCTGTAAGCTCTCACGGATGAGCCCATGGCGGGATTTGATCCTGGAATTAGCCACAGCCCGGGGATCCCTGACTAGGTGGATAACTTTGAGAGCCAGGAATGGGTCTTGGATGAGTGGTGCTAAAACCGCAATGTCAAAGACCCGCACACCTTTGATAACTAAAGTGTGGTACCTGAGGCACTCCTCCTGCAAAAGACTGAGCTGTCGCGGCGGGCACTTCTTGCATAACTTGTCATCCACCATGCCCACAGTTTGCTTGTGGTAAGCTGGGCAGAGGGGTGAGGAGCAGATCACCTTGTTGGTGGCTGCGCCAAAGATGCCCAAGGTGGTGAGATTCTTCCCTGCCCCTGCAGTGCTGTAGAGCTGGAAGACAGAGAGGTCACAGCGGTAGAGGGAACTCAACATGTCGCGAGCTGCGCCTTGCAGGGAAACGGCATCTCCTGGGTACAACTTCTGCCATACGTGCCACACAGGCTCATAAAGAAAGAAGACCTCTGGGTTCTGGTTGAAGAGCTCCCCAAAGAAGGACGAACCTGAACGCCACGTGGTGAAAACATAGACCAGCTGCCGCTTGCGGGCAAGGGGCACGGGAGGCCCATAGAGGGCCCGTGTGTCTGACCGGGACTGGGAGGCATAATAAGGCAGCTGCTGCGGATAGGTTGTGCGCCGGGCAGGCGAGGGGCCACTACACTGCTGCGGCCCCTTGTGCCACTTGTAGTCCAGCAAGTTGAGCATAGTCAGCAGCAGCAGCAGCAGGTAGCCCAAGCAGAGCACCAGAGCCTTCCTGCGGAACACCTTCATGTTGCCAGGCTGGGGCACATCACAGGCAAATGCTTCCGACAGCGAACTGGTCGAGGTGGGGCCGGATGTCCCGGCACTTTCCTCTCAGCAAGAAGGACATCCCGCCGGCTTCCCTGGAGGCCCAGCGTCCTGCTCCTGCCCGCTTGCCTACCGTCGGGGTTCAGGACTTCCCGTCCTTCCTACCTTCCATCGACCCAGTGGCTTCCCTAGACAAGCGTCGATCCAGCGCAAGCCGGCGGAAGGGGACTCCTCTGCACCAAGTTAATGCATCATCCCAGGAGAGGACTTCGCCGTTCCTCCGTCCTTCCGCGCAGCCGGGGACTTTCCGCTCAGCAGCCAAGCGCCCGGCGAGGTCCGGAGGCAGAATCGGGGCAGCGGGCAAACTTTCAGAGGTCGCGGAGCCCCCGATTCCCGAGAAAGGGCATTGCGGGGAAGCCCACGACCATCAACGCCGGCACGCTCGGCGAAGCTTGTCTTGCCCTGCCGCGCGGACGAGGGTCTGGGGTGCTGAGCGAGGCGGCGGGCGAGG